TCCCTCTTCATAGTTCGAATTGTGAGATTTGGCAATTAGTCTGAACATTTGGGACTTAGTAACATAAGTTCTGAATTTCTTTAGACATACATGTGAGATATCTAAGGCAAAGGTGTATGAACTTACAAAGCTTAGATAAAGGCTTATCAAAGCATTAGGTATTAGAAATATGAACTTAAGGAATTCAATAAGCATTGTTTTCTGGAAGTTCAATTGTTTTCTGAATACATGTCAAAGCTAGTGGGAGCATAAGTGTTATGCTGGTAAGAAAATAATCATCATGTTAGTGGGAGCATGATTATTATGGTAAGTATTGCAAGTTAGCAATATTAATTATAGAAAACAAAGATTCACTTTGCAAAGTTGCAAGGGTTGAAAAGTTGTCTTGCTATAATTAAGGGAGAGAATATTATACTTCATTTCAAAATTCTAAAGTTTAGATCGAGAAATGTTAATAAATTTAGTCAAGGATACATAGTGCATTCTCAAAATTCGATTATGATTACGACATCCCTCTTCATAGTTCGAATTGTGGGAACAGGGCACATAAAATATTATGGCAGAAGGCTGATAAAGTATCACGTCTTTATGTGAGTCATTATACGCTTCGGGTATAAGGATCGATTGCATATGCTATAATATTTGACCATTCTGAAATTTTCCAAATGCCTAGGGCATTAAGAGGGAAAAAGGACTAGAACTGGTTTTGACTAAAATAATTAAACAACTATCAAAGGACGATCTGTGGTTCACTGAGGATTTGTCGCTTGTGAGTAGTTGGAAGTATAGTACTGGATGGACTATATTGGCATTATTATGAATAGATAAGATTCCATTAAGAATGAGTTGTCATATGGCAAATATGGAAATGTTTCCATTAATGGGAGTTGGATATTAAGAAATATGTCTAGATTAGAAACTTTTATGCGAGAAGGATGTTCAAAGGAATGTACTTTGAATGTGAGACTTCACGTCTATGGAATTGTCTTGTAACAATTTCCGATATAATACCTTGTAATTTCATTAGCCGGGTCTTGGTGACTTTTGTGCTATGACATTACGAAAGAATCATTGCATAAAATGTTAGAATCTGACATATTCTAAAAGTGGCAAGAATTTGGTATTCTTATACTAATAATAAGGATTGGGGATTGTGAAATGAGCTTCATTGGAAAAGTTTTTCAATTGATCTATTTCACAAAGTATGGACCATAGGAAACCAAAGTGTGCATGCTTGGAGCATGGGACAATTGTGGTTATAATTCGAGTAATAAGTTGATTTTCTGAAACAGTAAGCAATGAATAATGAGTAATCAATATGGTGTTTAAATAAAAGTGTTTTTATTTACGCTCAAAAGTTTTGGGGCCATATAAGATTAATATTATTATTGCGTTTCACTTTGCATGTTTTGACTTCCAGAATAACTGGGTTATTCAAACCTCCACAGTCGGTCATACGTTGGAAGTAGGTATGAAGCAAGACTGTCATGAATCTGTCTGTAGATTGTCTAAAGTGTTTAGACATAGCACAAGTTTGCTGCAGAGTTCATGAGTGCCTTAATAAGATTAGAGTATTGGATTAAACCCACGCTCGCTTGAATCACTTCATGGTTTTTATCACGAGTGATTGTGAGACGATAACATTGTATATTCTTGAAACCGAGACGTGTGAGTTGTTATTTGCTGGTCGGTTGCACATTGATGATAAGTAAACACACCAGTAACTTGGTGTTATAAAACTTATTGTTGTGTGTGATTCGATTAGTAGGTGCAAGCAAGCATTTGATTCGAAGTTTCTCCATTCCTTTTACCCAAAGTGGGATAAAAGCGATATATGTGGGCCTCTCGATGATTTAGTGATGAAACCCTAAGCGCTTGGCCAAGCCGAGACTAAATTGATGTGTTCAATTATAGTATGTTGTCAGTCGTCATAAATCGGAAGTCGGGAAACAATATAGAGAGAATGATCGAAATTCATGTCTTGTGTCTATACGATATCTTGAGAATGGAGGAATATATAATCCCTTATCTAAAGGACACGCGTATCTGATAAGATCAGAGTTGACAGTGGCTTTTGAAAGCTACGATTGCTGATCAGGTTCTGAAGTTATACAGAATAGTTATTAGACTTATCCAAGTGGGAGACTGTTGGATTAGTGTCTAAGTCCATAACTATTTTGGTATGTACTTGACCCGATTATGAGCATGGTCCTTTTGGGTTGCCTTCACCATAGCAATATGTAGGATGAATTAAGGAGAGAAAGGTTTAATTATGATTTATTAATATATTATAAGAATAATATATTAAAGGAGAAATCATATTGTTTAATTAATATTAGTCAAGAATTAATTAAGAATTAATTTAGTGGCTAAAAGAGATTAATTAAACTTAGGGGACTGGATTTGTAATTATAAGATAATTGTAATTGGGCTATGGATTACCTAAATAATATAGGTTGGACGAATTCTATGGGAAGCCCATAAGGAATTCGTCCAAGAGATATGTTAAAGGAGTCCATGGGCTGCTTAGGGCTTAAGCAGCCAGATTAGGGTTTCCTAGTTGTAAACCCTAATAGCCTACATGTATATAAAGGACCCTTAAGCCCCAAAAACGTGGACAAGTAATCCTTTAGGGTTTCCAGCCGTTTTTGGTGCCTCCTCTCTCCTCCCTCTTCATCCAAGTTGCTTAGTAGTGTTTGTGACTCCATTAGAGGTGCAACACTTGAGACACTAAGCTTTCTGAAGCCAATCAAAGCAAGGAATTGATTGTTATTACTATATAACAATCAAAGGTAATTACTAAACCCTTATTTCAGTTCTTATTTGATAGATCTAGAGTTTATAGCTTTGGATATTCAATTGCATGTTCATTAGACAAACTAGATCCAAAAGCTATTAGGGTTTGCATGTACACCATAGGAATGATGTATTGCTCGAAACCCATCAAAAATGCCAAGTCTGTAGACCGAAGGAAGAAATGCCAAGTCCTTATTTGGGTGTTGTTTTAGGATGTGTTTCTAAATAGGCACGAGTTGTATGATTTTGATGTTTCTGTTATATGTATGCTTGTATGATTGATGATGGCATGATAAGTAGGAGTATGGTATAATGCTTATAATGTTATGTTGTGTTGGAATTCACTAAGCTTCGTGCTTACCCTTTCATTTATAAATGACTATTACAGATACAATAGGTACGAATAAGAGTAAAGGTTTAGCTTGACTGTACACTAGCGCAGTTGAAGAGTGGGTCCTCGTCACAGACAATTGATATGGGTTTTATGACTATTACTATTCCGTTGTTGGTTGAGTTGTAAATGGATTTGTTTTATTAAAAGTATGTTTTGAAATATTAATTTGGATGTTTGAAACTAACGGTTTTGGTTAACTAACGGATTTGATGGAAATTTTAATAAATATAAATGTTTTAAAAAGTTTAAATTTATTTGAAATTTTGGGACATTACACGACCCCACCCCTCTATCCACACATGCATGCACTCGTTGACACCTACATAGATTTCAATGGGTAAGAGTTTAATTTATTAAAGTTTTCTCATTTTTTATTAAAAATAATATATGTTACAAAAAATCAACTAAAGAGTATTTTGGTCATATTAAATAATCAACTTTCGAACTCCTTTGACAAATTTGCAAACAAATTAACAAAAAATAAATTTAATTTAATGCTAACGAAACCCATAAGTAATTTTAATACCTTCAAATTTCAATATACCATTATGTGAACACACCCTTATTGTGGATGTAGAATCACATTCGTCCAAGAAAGTGACAACTTTACTTTTGCAACTTGAAATAGTTTGGTGAGGATATAAGTAGAAACAGAGTAGTATCCACTTGCCATATAAGACGTAAATGCATTGATTCGCTCTTTTTTATATTAATAATCTACAGATCTACAGATTATAAGGTTTGAATAATATCCCTTATATATTGCCAATAAATTTACTAAAGCCGCGTTAATGGCGGGCCACAAAACATTCACATTAAATATGGTTCCATACATATTTCTCCATTACAACCCGATTATCATAATTTAATTCTATTTATAATTCAATCCCACTTTCACCCTGATACAGAATCATAAGAGCATCTACAATGCATAGTTCAATGGGAGAGTTGAATGAGATAGTATGCATAATTGACATTCAATGGATTAAACTCTATCATTATGGGATGACATGTTTGCATTTAATGAATATAGAATTCAATGGCCATTGAACTTTTTAATGGGAAAAAAGAAAAGTTTTAACTATTAAATATATATTCCATTGAAGTCTATTGAATTCAATGCATCCTAAGAAATTTTATGTAGAATTGTATAGTAAGTAAAATGATGATTTTTTTTTTCAGGGAGATTACAAACCATTTAGTGGGCAAACACACCACTCTACCCATTGTATAGTAAGTAAAATATTTGCCGGTTCCAAAAAAAAAGTAAAATGATGATGTCCAAATCCATTAAACTCTAATAACTTTAATGCATTATGGATACCCTCGTTACTAAACGATTAATATGTAAGTTGAGTTCATAATGGACTACCCATAACAAGTATTTTCATTTTGTTATTTGTTGAAAAGCAAAAATATATCACACCTTGGTATTTCTTGTGTTTTTTTTTCTTTTTTTTTTCTTTCTTTTTTCTTTTTCAAATCAAAACTTAATGAATTGAAGTATCAGTTGTAAATTGTAATATAATAACAAGTTCGATAGTTAATACTAGAATTTGCAAAGTGTCCATTGTTGTTTTTTCTTCCTCTATTTGTATTTGCATGAACCTAATGGTTTTTTAACATAGATTTTCGAATCAAGTTGAATAATGATAGGAGTGCTGAATTGCCATATGAACACAACCAGTCAAACAGGATAAGAATAACGTCAATAAAATTTCTTAGCTGTAATTAGCTTCATGGACTTCTATATTTAGTAATATATAACTAGCTTCATGCTCATAGAATTATCTCCACTTCAAAGTTATCAATGATATTCAAAACCATTGTATTTTTACCATTCTTGGTACTTGGTGTTCTATCTGCAGATTCTAGCTTAAAAGATGAAGTTGATGCTTTGGAACATTTCAAGAACTCAATCACAGATGACCCAACTGGTGCACTCCTGGATTGGAATGCTGATTCCATCCACCACTGTAACTGGACTGGAATCCAATGTGATAATGTCTCACAACGTGTAGTTTCCATTTCTATTCAGCAAACACAGCTCAAAGGCCAAATCTCTCCTTTTCTTGGAAACCTTTCCAGTCTTCAGGTTCTTGATCTTTCTTACAATTCATTTACTGGAAACATTCCTTCCCACTTGGGATATTGCACACAACTTACTACACTTTCCCTTTACACCAACTCCCTCTCTGGGCCGATTCCATCGAAACTGGGAAACCTCCGGAATCTGCAAATACTTGACCTTGGAAACAATTCACTATCTGGAATCATTCCGGAAAGCTTGTGTAATATCACTTCCATGTTAGAACTTAGCCTTGATGACAACAAACTCAATGGTTCAATCCCGGATAGAATCGGGGATTTGATCAATCTTCAGCAACTTGGAGCTTATGATAACCGTTTACAAGGCTCAATTCCTACTTCTGTTGGCAATCTAAAAGAGTTGCTAGCTCTTGATTTCAGTCAAAACCAACTTACTGGTATCATTCCTAGACAGATTGGAAACTTGTCAAAGTTACAAGTTCTTCAGTTGTTTGAAAATTCACTCTCTGGGAAAATACCATCTCAACTTGGCAATTGCACGGATCTATCTCTTCTCAACATATACAACAACAAACTCGTTGGAAGCATTCCTCCTGAGCTTGGAAATCTCATGGGCTTACAGGTTTTGCGGTTGTATACGAATCAGTTGAATTCCACGATCCCAAACTCATTATTCAAATTACAATCATTAGTGATTTTGCAGCTGTCAGGGAATAATTTAACAGGGAATATTTCTTCTGAAATAAGTTCACTTAAATCTCTACAATCCCTGACCCTTCATCAGAACAATCTCACGGGGGAGATTCCAGCATCCATAACTAGGTTGGTCAATTTGACATACTTAACAATTAGCTTAAACTCCATCACAGGTGTAATTCCTTCAAGCATCGGGTCACTTCATAACCTGAGAAATTTGTCTCTTAGTAATAATCTTCTTGAGGGATCTATTCCATCGAGCATCACAAACTGCACAAATATCCGTCGGATAGATATTGCTAGTAATAGGATGACTGGAGAATTGCCTCAAGGTTTAGGGAAGTTATCAAATCTAACATATCTAGTTATTAGCAACAACAGAATATCAGGAAGAATCCCGGATGACCTCTTCAATTGTTCAAGTCTAGTGGTTTTGGATATAGCATTTAACAATTTCTCTGGATTGTTGAAACCAAGTATTGGAAAACTTTATAATCTCCAAATACTTCAAATTCATGGTAATTCTTTTTCCGGGTCCCTACCAGGAGAAATCGGAAACCTTAGTAATTTAATCTTGTTAAACTTGGGACAAAACCAATTTTCGGGTGCGATTCCTGTAGAATTCTCAAACATTTCTTCCCTTCAAAGCCTTTTGTTGGGTAACAATAATCTTGAAGGAAAGATTCCAGAGGAAATCTTTGAGCTCAAACAGCTGACTGAACTCTACTTGATGAACAATAATTTTGTGGGTTCGGTTCTGGATTCTGTTTCAAAGCTTGAGATGCTTTCTCTGTTGGATGTAAGTGGAAACAGGTTTAATGGGTCAATCCCGGAGAGTATGAGAAAACTAAACAAATTGATTTCGATAGACCTCTCACACAACATGCTCACAGGGTCGATTTTAGGGTCCATGATTGCAGGTATGAAGAATCTACAGATATATCTAAACCTCTCCAACAATTTTCTTACAGGTAACATCCCAACTGAGTTAGGAAAGCTTGAGATGGTAGAAGCCATTGACATCTCGAACAATAATCTGTCTGGAGGCATTCCAGTGACACTTCAAAGCTGCATAAACATGAAGAGTCTTGACTTGTCTGGAAATCAGCTTTCTGGTAGTATTCCACAAGAAATATTTCCTCCTCTTGATCAGCTTACCAGCATAAATTTTTCAAAGAATCAGTTGGATGGAGACATTCCCGAAAGCATGGCGAATTTGGCTGATCTTACATCAGTTGATCTTTCACACAATAAAATCAAGGGTTTGATTCCCCAGAGTTTTGGCAACATTTTGGTATTGAAACACCTCGACCTTTCTTTCAATCAGCTTGAAGGACGTGTTCCAGATACCGGTATTTTTAGAAATACAAGTGCAGTTGCATTACAGGGAAATCCATCTCTGTGTCTTGCCAACAACACCAAGTTATGTGCCTCATCAAGTAAATCAAACCATTCACTGTCCAATAAGACTCTATTGATTCTTTCAATACTCGGATTTCTTGTTATTTTTTTCTGATTAAGAAATAATTGATGGAAGTTAAAGTATATATTAGTTGTCTTTAAGGCTGAAAATGATCTGATCATAGAAGGCAGAAAATGATGTACACATAGCACTAGAGTCAACAACACAGCAACAAGTTTTTCTTTGTGTTTTTTTTTTCTTTTTTTGGAAAAATTAACCTGTCAGAAACCATTAAGTTCTTGAGACTTTTGGGTAAAGAATGAATAATGTCCCCATCACACATTGCTACAAGGATGAAAATTTGTGAGGACTCCAAGCTTATAAATAGAGTCCAAGGCTTTAGTTTCAAAGACACCCAACCAAAATACACTTGAACTGTTTAGTTCTTTCCTTTTATTTTGTGTTAGAGTGTAGAAAACGTTAATTAATACTTTGGAAGAGTATGAAAAATTATGGGGGAGACTTGATAGATTATTCTATGTGATTGTAACAATTTATTATGTAGTAGATCTTTCTCTTTGGCGACCTGTGATTTTTTTTGGTTTTTGTAGTTTCTACTTATATTCTTGTGTATTGTTATTTTATATATTATTGTTATTGGAGGATTGTTTGGGATCCATGAGTCCATTTTCCCAACAAGTGGTATCAAAGCGGGGAAGCTGCACCATAATTTTTCAACATGTGTTGATGTGAAATTCTTAGAATTGTTTATTCTGAGTGGAGATATTTTTTTATGGTGGGGTATGATAATTCTATGTTTTTAAAATTATGATTGTCAGTTGAAGACAATGTTTCTTTTATGTGACTGCAGTTATCATTCATCTATCCAATGTTGATATTGTTGAGATTTTCATCTAGAGAATGAATAGTGTCTCCATCCCACATTGTCATAAAGATGAAAGCTTGTGAAACATCCCAAAAATACTAGCCAAAAATTTTATTTTTTTCAAAATCATTTAACAACATAAATATCATCACCATAATATAAAATCATGAAACATGTATCTCAAAATCTCATAAAACTATTATCATATCACAATCTCGTATAAAATATCAGAGTAAACTCACAGGCTAAGAAAAACTGTGGTGTGTGACATGCCATCATCCCGAGCCCTTTCCCTTTGCTAGCTGAAGTACCTGAAACCAAAACTGAAACTGTAGTAAGCTCCCTCAAACTACCACATACCATACAATAATACATATAACAGATATTGGGCCTTGCCCGCTGCATCGGGCCCCGCCCGGCATCGGACCGAAGTCCGGCATAATTTGGGCCCCGCCCACTGCATCGGGCTCCGCCCGGCATCGGACCGAAGTCCGGAATAACTTGGGCCCCGCCCACTGCATCGGGCCCTGCCCGGCATCGGACCGAAGTCCGGAATAAACTGAACATAACATGAGCATAAACATATAACATAATCACATATTCTGCATCGGGCTTGGCCGACATCGGACCGAAGTTCGGAACATATAACACATAACATAAACATGCATGAATCACAAAGACATCAAGCATACATAACTACTTCTCGGGACCACCCCGGCATCGGACCGAAGTCTGAAACTACTATCATTAAACGGGTCGGCATTGTGGTCGTAGACCCGTTCCTACTGGAAATGAAACTCACCTCTCAACTGACTGCTGAAAAACTCGTGCAAAGGTGACACCGTCTGCTGCTCCAACTACTCCCCGGCTATAATGACCAAATAAACCTTTAGTCAAAAACTGATAACTCTCCCATGGGTAAAATGACCATTCTACCCCTCTGATATATCTTGGGCCATGACCTAGGCCCAACCCTTTCTAGTCCTCACTAAGGCCCATTAAGTCCCCAAATGGCCCAATTTTCTGAATTGGGCCCAACTCTTCAAATGGGCTTCCTTTCCAAGCCCACTAATCCTTGGGCCCTTAACTGACTTCTAAAGGCTCATCACCGCCCATTACCACTATGTCCAAAACTTGGCCCAAACCAAGGCCCAATAACAAAAGTTCATTGGCTGAGCGTACGCTGAACATACTCTTCTGTACGCTGCGCGTACTGCTTGAATGGCTTGTACGCTGCGCGTACTGGCGTGTACGCCCAACGTACTCTCCTGTTAAGCCATCCTTTCCAAAACGACTTAATCTTTTAAGACTGAACGTCCAAACTACAGATTTGAGTCCAATACTTCATCCTAGCCCATAAAGTCGATCACTTTATCCAAGCCACCAAATGAGCCCAACACCAAAAAGTGACAAAGAATCACCATGGAAGTGGCTAGATCTCTTGCATGGCTTCATAAAAGCCTCAAAGCTTGCAACTTTACAGCTAAAGGGACACATTGAGCTTCAAGGGTGGCAACCCTAAGCTCAAAATCGAAGTTGCATGATCAAGATCCAATCTTTGGACCTAAAAAGGTCCAAATCTTTCAAAACCTATATCTATGATTCAAGAAGGAAAGATGGGAGCTTTATACCTCCCTTGAGTGCCCAAATGTGAACTTGTTCCAGATCCTTGAGCTCAAGATACTCAAGTGCTTCTTCCTTCCACCTTGCTTCACTTCTTCCAAGCCTTTCTTCACCAAAATAAACTTCAAAGGTCAAGCACACAAAGAAATGGAGTAAGGGGACGAACTAGGGTTTTCTGAGAGTAAGGGACAAGTGAGGAGGCCAAAGGGGTGGCTATAATGGGGTTTATATATGTCTTAAAACCTAAAAATTAGGGTTTGGTATCTGCCCGCGTACGCTGGGCGTACCTCATGGTACGCTGCGCGTACGCCCCCGAGTCCCGCGCATCCAATGTGGCTACTACGCCCCGCGTACGCCGGGTTACGCCCCGCGTACGGCTTATGGGCTGCTCACTCCTAGGTCCAATCTTCTAAGGTCCATTCCAACAAGGGGCATTGCCCAAACCTTAATCCAAAACCAATATTAATTTGCATAATTAATCAATACCTCGAGAAACGGATGTTACAGCTTGGGAGGACTCCAAGCTTGTAAATAGAGTCTGATGCTTTTGGTTTCAAAGTACCCACCCAAAATACATTTCAAGTGTTTGGTTCTCTCTTTCTTATCTAGTTTTAAAGTATAGAAGGTGTTAGTTAACACTTTGGAAAAGTGGGAATATTTTTGGAGGAAGTTTGAGAGATTAGTCTATGTGATTGTTACAATTTATCATATAGTAAATCTTTCTATTTTGGAGGCTTGTGGTTTTTCTTTGTTTTTTTGGAGTTTCCACATATATTCTTGTGTCTTTTTATTGTCTCTATTATAGTTATTAGGAGGATTATGGGGGATCCTTAAGGCCATTTTCCCAACATAAGTATTGTATGTATAAATATCTATTATCTCCATGTAAATCGTGTACGTAATTTTTTTCAACTTTTGCAAAGCTTAGGATGTCAAAATTGAAAATCATCTTTCCATTATTTGAAGGGCATTCGTATAATTAATTGTAAAGTTAAGTCATCTCAAATGCATTAAACCCTTTAGAGTTTAATGGATTGCTATATCATCATTATACTTACGGTACTAACTTACCTCATTAAACTCCACATTCCATTAAACCCTTAATGTTTAACGGATTTTCACATCACTATTCTAATTTAATTTATGGTGTATGTGTATGTGTGTTGTATATATATATATATATATATATATATATATATATATATGTGTGTGTGTGTGTGCGTGTGTGTGTATGTGTGTGTGTTTTGTAAATAATTAATGAATGACACAAACAATTGACGCATTGATAAAAGTCAACATTTCTTATTAGTTATGTATACATATGAAAAGTAACATTTGTAATATAAATATCCCTCCATATGAAAGAATGTAATACATCTAATGATATACCTTCCTAAGTGATAAATCTTTCATATTCTCTCTAACTCTTCTTTCTTCTCCATCAAAGTTCTTATCTAAGTTATTATTTTAGTTTGATTTAAAATTATCTTAATTACGTTGAGTTTATAACACGTTATCAACACGATTGTTCTAATCAATGTGATTAAACAAGTTAAAATCACATTTATCTTAATCAATGTATTTTTTTTAGTAAAAATATTATTAGTTATAAAACCACCATCATATTAAAAAGAATAATGAATTAATAAAAACTTATTCATTAGTATTTTAGAAGTTTTTTCTTGAATCGTAGTAGGATTTCCAACAATTTTTTTATAATAGATAAAAATAATGTATTAACCATATCTTCATCTAACGTTAGTATATGTTGACCATTTCTTGTTTTATTATGTTCTTTGTATAGGTTAAAATCCCATTATTTTCTTCTGATGTAACATAGAAATCTCACCAACCTTTAAGAGTTCTAGTAAAACAAAAAAGTATAATATTAACAATTTGGAGTTGGGTGTTACCTTTTAACTTATAGGCATTGGGTGTCATAGTCATTTCTTGAACAATATTCATTATTTGATGTACAGAGCAGCCATCGATATTTTGGTCGTAAATAAGAGTTTCATGGTAGGTAGAACGATAGTACTGGAATACTCTTTCTTCAATTTGAACATCACGAAGAGAAGGTCTATTCTAATAATTTCTAAGTGTTGGTTTTTAATTTCTTCCAAATGGGTTATGTTCAGATTGATTAATTTTATTTAATTTGGAAAAATGATTAGTAAGTTGATTAATATCTTGATCATTTGTAAATTGTAAAGCAAGAGTATTAATATCAATTTCACTATCACTATTAATTGTGTCAGATTTATTAGTTGCTATTTGTTTAAGAGTATTAATATTTTTCATATACACTTTTGAAAGTCTTTTTCCTATTTGTCTATTAGATCTTTATTTCCTAAATTAAAGTTTCCTTCAATTTGATGAGGAACAAAACTAATATTTGAATAGTTACTACAACTTGCTTCATCCCTTTTGTTATTAGAAGTTACTTCATCTTTTTTCTCTTTTCTCTTGAATAGTTGTAATTCCATATTTTTTAAGGTTTTATTTATTTTTGTTGTTTCTATTTCTAAATTTGTTAAACTTCTTTATATAGGTTTTTCTTTTGGAACATTTTCTTTTATTCTAACCAATTGTTCTCCAACAGTTG